AAAAAAAAAAAAAAATTGAAGACAACAACTCAAATATAATGAATTTCAGAAGAGCTCTCTAAAGACTTAAGCCATTCAAAAACGTGAAAGAAGACGGCTAAACACAAAAACCGAAAGGTTTTCCTGTTTTGACCAAACGCAAACGCATGTTTCATTTAGAACCTATTGCTTTAAACATATCGCCTTTTGTGCTGCTTTATCATCTCTAGTTTGGGAATCAAATTCCGGGATTTCCCTTTGCAGATAAACAACTTGGCCAATATGACGCCAACAGTGACCGAGCACAGTGACATCAGCAAAAAAAATTTGTTGACCGCACTGTTTGCTGGTCATTGTGGGAACCTGAATAGCTGGACTACGGTAAGACGAAATTACAGCAGGCGAAAGGCTTAGTGGTCTTTGGTGGGGTTATTATGATCTGGCTAAGGGCCAATATTCATCGCTCAAAAAAGCAACTAAATGGTAGATTTCAAAAAAAAAAAGAAAAAAAAAAAACAGATTTTTTGAAGTATTTCAAAAAAAAAAATCAGATAAATAAGGGAACCATTATGCATTCAAAAAGTGAAAATATTTTCTGCAAGGCTTTTTGTTTGGTAGTTTTGTGATACCTTATTAGCAGCGGTATTTAAGCTTTCTAAGTTAACTGTGATTGGCCTCAAAAAGAAAAAGAAAAAGAAAGAAGAAAAGAAGGAAAATTTTATTTTAAGGATAAGCCTGAATCATAAGTGTAGAAAAACATTTCTTTAGTAATGCACTCCAGCTTAATCGGTTGTAACCGAGACTGCGGAAGGGGTTGCCGACTCTGTGAGAGATACTGGCATTTTGGATGCCCGTTCAAAAGGCAGTTGAAAGATTCAGAAACGGTTTTTCCAAAACTGATAAGCCAGTGCAACAGAAGACATAGTTTTCTATTTTTTTTTTAAATGAAAATTAGCGACTAGAAAGGGATGGCAGACATCATCATTATGAGGTTTTTAAATATTAAAAAACTTGAAAACGGAGTTGTGTGCCATGCGCAAAACCCTTGTCGTTGAACGCTATACAAAGTGCCCAAAAGTGTGAACTTTTGGCACTATTCGTGAGGCCACTTTTGTCCTCATCATTTTGTTTCCTACAATGAGTCTAAAAAAGACAAGGCTTTTAAAATGAGGAGTAAAGAACTGTTTTTTCATAGAACACATCAGGTCAGTAAATTAAAGGAAGAAAAAAGTGTTTTTCTTGTCAATAGTGAAGAAGACGCCCATTCATTGCTACAAATAGGAAGGATACCAGAGCAGAACCAACAAAACGGAAAATACTAACAACGATAGCTATAGCCCAGATACTTTTATATAAGTATTACTAGAGCAATCACTGATTCACCGGCCATAGTTTAGTGTTTAACTTAGCCTCTTTTGCTTTTAGCTCCTCTAATATTAATAAACAACTAAAAATTGAAAAAAAAAAGTTGCGAGAAAAAAATAGATTAAAATCTAACTTGGCAAAAATTTCTTCCAGTGAAGTTTCTTGCAAATCCAAAAGCAAAACAGATTTGTTTAACAAATGATCAATATCCATTGTCGCTCGAATTTCAGAGCCAAAATCTTTCATCGGGATTTTCTCGTGCTTCGCATACATCAACGTTACATTGTCGTATTCCTCTAAAATGTAGCATAAATTTGTACCTTGCTAATGAACAACAAAATATAATATCTAAAAAATTAAAAAAAAAAATAAGTGCAAGAAAAATTATAAAAATAAGTATCAAATTGTAAAATTTTTTTGTTGCTTTTATTTCATTAAGACATTCCTTTACCATTTTTCACATTCTGTTTTTGTTTCTTTTTATTTTTTTATTTACTTTCTTTTTGCAGATTAAACCATTTTATAGTCAACTATTTCTTTCTTCACTGTTTTTACACTTTTCACTTTGCTTTTTCAATTTTTTATAATATTTGGTGCTCTGTGTATCAGTTTCTTTTGCAGTTGGTCGTCGTTCAATGCAGAATCGGCATTTGTTGAAGATAAGTTCCGTCATCTTTGATCATAAGTTGTGGTGGTGACAAATGAATGCCACATTATCACCACAGCTCCCCTGTTATTTGTTTATTCGAATAGAATAGAACCGATATGACGGACAACAACAACGACATCAATACTGATACCAATTATCATTCCGATCACTGTTCATCCACTACTGATCATCGATGCTTTTTCTCA